AACATAACAAAGGCCCTAATCCCGGTATGTGCATGCATTTATTTATTATCACCTTAAATATTTGTAACGGTTTTTTTAATTTTAGAGTGACACCGGTTTCAGTTTCGGTTTTGTTATTAGATTTTTTTGTCGTAGTGATCCCAAAACCACCGAATACCGCTTCATGGCCATACAAAGTGTGAAAATCTACAGGACTCAATTTAATAAACCTCTTTAATGGCATAGGATTTGTTTTTATAAGGCCAATATCATTTTTCACAACAAGATATTGACTAATTTGTCGAAATACACACATAGGATGCGGAATCACTGAAACAACTTGACTGAATGTATTCTTATCATTTGGTAAACTATGAACAGAACCATACCTTATCACTAGTCTATCAGGTAGGACTCCTTTAGGATATTTGTTTAGATTAGTTATGCAGTGAGCCGTTGTGACCGCCCACGTTGATGACAGAGCAGACGCAGTGCACACATGCTGTTGCTTATCAAATATACTGCCATTGGCCATCTTCTTCCTATTCCGGAGTTCAAGGCGAACAACATACGGATAAGCTCCTTGTTCCGCGTCTTCTCCTCCATAAACTCTCAATGGTTGTCTTTTGCCAGAACATTGATTCGACAATATAACAATGAATAGTACGTACATCGTGTACCAAAGTGTTCCAAACATGTAACTATATATTAAATTCTTCTTTGAGAATACTGTGTAATAGATTTATTTTATTTAAAGACATAAAGTATTATCATGGTAATTCAATTCTATAATATGAGTTTTTTTATTTTTCATATTTTATCGTATATAGATTCCTTCAAATGATTTTGGTTCCTGACCAGAATTCTTGTTACTACGATTTGTCGTATTACACACACCTATTTGGGATGTTCCTAAATGTGGTACATTTTTAGTAACAGGTTTAATGGAATATATTTACTGTAAAAGTGATGAGTGAAATCTAAAGTTAGAGAATTTTTCCTTTGTGAATAACTTCAATAAAAGATTCCCCATTCAGGTATATTTTTAAACAGCACTACCAAAACCGCCCAAAATCGATTTTTGTTCAAACATGACATGAAAGTCTATAAGTAACGCGTTTATTTTTATGTACCATAACAACGAGCGGTCGGTCGCAATTTCGTCAACGCGGAATTACACAAAAATAGTATGTTACTTCCACACATCAGCTACCTGCCAGTCAAGGTCTCGTTACAATGGCTCGAGCCATTTGGAGATTACTAAGAACAAACGTGGATTTGAGATCAGACAGATGGACAAACTGAAATTGCAACAAGCATAGGGAATGTGAATTTGTATTATATTTTATATTGCCTTTAAAGGGAAGGCCGCTCTTTCTTGGACCTATATAATTCTTATCGTTAAGTAAAGTGGGAGTAATAAAAAATTCATAAAAACTAATTTGACATATTTCCGTTTAATAAACACGTTAATTTCTTACATAAGATTTTACTCTGTCACATTTAGTGAAACTTCTTTGATATGATTCACTTTTGACACCATACAGACATGTTTTTACATAATTATACCAAAAGTCTCGGAACACAATTATTAAAAAATCGAAGTATTATAGTTTCGAGTAGATACACGTTTATTTTCATACATAACTAGCAATCCATTCGACATAGGGACCAACTGGACAAGGGAATCCTGCGCTTTCAATCATTTGATTTTTTGTTTCATCTCCGCAATATATGTTATCATAACCAGAGGATAGTACTGCAACTATGCCTGATGCATGGATGACAGGGCCCCCGGAGTCCCCACCACATACAGTAGCAATAGTTCCACAGCGATGACCTAAACATAACAACGGCCCTAATCCCGGTGTGTGCATGCATTTATTTATTACCACCTTAAATATTTGTAACACTTTTTTTAATTCTAGAGTACTTCCAGTAATGGTTTTTTTGTCAGGTATATTTTTCGTCGTGACCCCAAAACAAACGAATATCGCCTCATGACCATATAAAGTGTGAAAATCTACAGGACTTAATTTAATAAACCTCTTTAATGGCATAGGATTTGTTTTTATAAGGCCAATATCATTTTTTACAACAAAATCCATATTCGTAATTCGAGACAAATACATAGGATGCGGAATCACTGAAACAACATGACTGAATGTATTGTTTTCTTTAAGTGAATTATAAACATAACCATACCCTATCACTAGCTTATTGTGTAATCCTTCAATATACACGTGTAATTCTGTTAAGCAGTGAGCCGCTGTAACTGCCCATGTTGTCGACAGAGCAGACGCCGTGCACAGATTTTTTTTTTGTGACTGAGTAGTCACTGTTTGCCTTGAGGAGGCATTTACAGTTTCACCGGGCTTGAGGTGGCCGAGCGCAGATGGCGCTTAGCCTGAACCTCGTTTATGAGTAACAAGACTCGAGGGCTCCCTCAGGAGCCTCGGCTCGGGCTGTTACTTCATTATAGTTACCGGGTTGGGAGGTCACCGAGCTCTTAGATCGCTTAGGTGGACGCTCCATGGAGTGACTGGTCTCAAGGGCCCCCGAGAGGGGACCTCGGCTTGGGCTGTCACTCATTACGCGATTAACATTCCGATTCAAGGGTGCCCGAGAGGGCCGAACCTCGGCTTGATCGGTTGCTATTATCTGATTGCTATTAATACATCTTACATTACTACCACTTCGGAAAGCGTTTTCGCTGGGAGAAGAAGTGGCG